ATAAATAAATAATATATTATATATTTTTATTAAAGTTTAGGTTTTTTTTAAATTTTATATAGCTAATAGCAATTAGTAAGGAAGGAAAAAGTATAAAAAAATAAATAACAGATTTATTATAATCATTTTCATCATTATTTAATAATATATTATTTATTTATTAATTATAATAATTTTTTTTAAAAAAGGAAGAAAGAAAAGATGAATCGTGCAATGCAATACAACTCTTAATCACGATTCACGTTCACTAGAATGCACATTTATTACCGGAATAACATTACCATGTCACAATGTCATCCTGAACAAACGACATGCCCTACTCTCTTTAATACGTTGAATTATAACATTATTTACTATAGGGAGAGGGGATGAGGGAGGAGTATTTATTCATTTATTAGTTTTCTTTTTTTAGTGATACAGTGTAATATAGATTTTCTTAGGTAAGGAACCATCCAAACCATATCGAAGATCGATTACGATTTACGATAAAAAAAGTTGATAACATCGATTCGGCTTAAAAGTTTAAAATCCGGTTAATATATATTCATGATTTTCCCCTGACTAATTAGAATAGATTTGGGAGATACACTTTTATATAAGCTAACTTAGGTAGCCTGGCACCATCAAATCAAAAATATGTAAAAATAAATGGCTTAGGTTCGATATAGGTTCTATAAATAATACCGATTTAACTGTTTTGCTTGGATTATTTAACAAAATATTTATCTTTAAAATATAAAAATTAAGCACATTCCATTAAAATAAAAAGATTCTATCTTATTTTCGCTGACAAATTGGTATAACCATTTAAGTATAATTATATCATCATTTTTCATTTATATAAAAAAATTCACGCGGTTTATTTTATTGTAATAGCTAATCACTGGTTTGAAAAAATAAATAATCCCATATTATAATTTATGATAACTAGTTAGGTGCAGTTTTTTTATATTATAACATACGTTTTTCTATTATAACGACTTATCCCGAATACTCACAAGAAGATTCGCTATTTTTCAATTTTAAATCATCTAACGAGAACGATTTTTAAATTTGTTCTAAAAAATAATATTACTCGAAATGTATTCGAATTTATGTACAGAGCATACAATACCTATTCAGCCATTTCCCGACAATTTCGCCATAAACCTTTGTACATTTAAAGGCTCGCGGCAAAATTGTCTCATTTAATTGGACGGGTAACAACTCATGCTGGAATAAATTTCCGTTAAAATCAGATTGTTATCATTATTTTTTGTTTAAAGATCATACTCGTAAAAATAATTTAAAATTAAGAAATTCAAAATCTTCAAGATTTCCAGCTGAAACCCCCCACCCTCCTAAAAATCTCAAGCAGCTGTTTCATGACATGGCATTTTGCGAGTCCAGATTGAATCCCATTTAACTTACAAAAAAATATATTTTTTATCCCTTTTAGTGCTCATATTAGAAAGGTCACCTTATTTACACTTGTTATTATCATCTTATTTAAATTAATTGATTATTATAATAATTTCTTAAAAAATGTAACAAAAAGTTTTTTGAATCGATTCAAAGTTTTGAAAAAGAAAGAAAGATGAAGAAGAAAAGTTAGCTCGTTATTTTGATTAATCGCCAATTTTTCGTTTCGTTCTTTTTCTCAGAATTGTTTTTTTTTGTTGGACATCGGTTGTACAAGGAAGAAACAATTGAACATATCATATAATAATAGATTTAATCGATCGATCGGTCGAATATAGTCTGAAATTTTTTCGATGAAAAATTAATTTCAATCATATTGGAGGGTGGTTTATAATTCAGGGGGCTATTAAAATTAGCTTTAGAAATTGAGTATTAGTCAACAGGTATAAAAAAGCAACTTAAAATCAGAAAATTATTAAAAAATTAAAAGACAGATAATAAAGCGATTTTATAGAGTAAGTATAGATGAAATTGTGGGGTTTGCCTTTCATTACCCAGGTGGAGAAGATGAAAAGTGTGAATGCTCAGGTGGGTGTAGTGGCAAGAATCAAATTTTTAACTATATCTCCATTTTTATTTATTATTATTATATTTCAACCAAATTTTAAAAAAATACAATAAGAACCTACATATTGGAATCACGTGGCCCATCTTACAATCTTTATTTCATCTCTCGTAGCACGGAATCATTTTTAATTGGCTTCAGGAAAAAAAAAATTATCCTTCCTAGATTCGAACTCAGAACTAGCAGATTAAACGCCCTCACAGACTAGGCCACAGACCCTACTCAAAAGAAACAAATTTTTTTTTCCTACATAACGATAAAATTACTACAAGAGAGATAATAATACGCTATACAACATTTTGCCCTATTATTTTAATATTAAGATATAAAACCTTAAACTTTATAAAATATTAATTTAAATGCTTAGATAAGTATGTTGAGGATTAAATTTTAAACGTTTGAGTCGATTTTTTCAAAACGGCCCGGTTAGCTAAAATTATATTATGTAAATATCGAGATTTGACAAGTCAGCTATGTGCAAAATATTTAGGTTTACGTAATATTATTTTGGTTATAATCTTAATCGAGCCATTTTTTAAAATCGACCCGAATCGGGCTTTTTAACAACACTACCAAATTTTTATATATAAATAAAAATCTTTCATATTTTTTTTTAAATAAACTCTAAAAAAAAATATTTGAGTACAAAAAAAAATTTGAAGTTAGATAATAAAACCAAGACATTTTTAATAGAGTTTAATATTTATTTTCTTCAATATTTTTAAACGTATTTTCACCCTTTTGGAGTTTGAAGATAAAATACTTTCCTCATAGAAAGCTTATATTTAAAAATTTCAATTTAGGATAAAATTTGGAATTAATGAAGAAACGAAAAGGATTTCAAATTATGAATTTTAGCATGTTTGGGGTTTTGAGTACACTGAAGGATTGGAAAAAAAGTTTCCATATGCACGCACCCAGAAACTATTCATGAGCGTATTTTAATTTTATCATAATTATTCAAAATTTTAAAAATTCCGGGCCGGGCTGAAAATTTAAAATAAAAATTTTTACTGGATTTTAATTTTTTTCCAAATCCAATAAAATTTTGACCTCAGCGGGTAACTGATAAAAATTAAGTATATAATGAAATGGTTAAGAGATTATATAATTTTAATTATAGAATATAACTCCCCCCCCTCCCCACCTCTTTATGGGCTTATGTACTGAGCAATTTATAAATAAATATGAAAAAAATTTGACATTAGCTAATTCTACCACCCCCCCCCCCTACGGTTGTTAAACTGCTCGATTTAAGCCGATTTTTAAAAACGGATAACTAGATATCTTAGCTAGAAAAATATTGCCTAAGCTTAGAGATTTCGTTAACAGATGTTCAAATCTTTGTGCCATCTACGAGAAAAATCTTCAGGCTTGTGTAATATTTTTCTAGATAAAATTTTGAGTTAGCCATTTTTAAAACCGGCTTAAAAGGAGCCGTTTAAAAACACTATCCCTCACCCCAATTTTTATGCTTTAATTTTATATTTTTGTAATCTCATATTTAGCAATTTACACTACTCGAATCTTCATCTATTAATAAAAATTCGTTCCTATTGTAAACTTATATCAAGCAAATTGATTAAAATTCCTTTCACTCATAATTCAAAACGTTAAAATAAGAAATATTGAGAAATACGAAAGATCTCGTTCTAAATCGCTAAAACAAAAATGGCCAAAATTGGGAATTTCTTTACATATCATATACCTAATAGAAAATTTCAAAAGCAATATTATAATTAAATAGATAGTAGGAGAGCAGACACCTATATATAAATCAAAGACCTGCAGGTCCGGCAAGGGTTTAGGCCGGGCCGTATTTTAATTTTTTTAAATATACTCGGGCAGGGTCTAGATTTTTTTAAAAAAAAGCCGGGCCGGGACGAAAATATTTTTAAAAAAAATCCGGACCAAGCCATGCAAATGGTACTTCTGCAATTCTCTGACATAAATTGAGTTTTTTTAAAAAAAATCGCTATTTAATGGGGAAAATCAACAAGATTCCCAAATTTAAAATCTTTAAGATATTTACCCCATTTAGTATTTTTAAAAAAAATTCATTTAAACACACTTGCTTACTTCCCTATCATCAATGCAAAGATCAGTTTTTATTCAGAGTTTACTAGAGAATATGTACAATATAATAACTAGAGATCTGCAAAGTTAGGCCCGGCCCCGGCTTGAACGTGCTTCGGGCCGGGCTCGGGCCTAATTTTATTTAAAATAATCGGGTTCGGGCCGAGTCGGGCCAAATATTTTTTTTAAAAAACCGGCCCGGGTCGGGTCGGACCTTGGAATTTTTAAATATATCTAAATTTATCAATTTTATATTGAATTTTTTATGTAAAATAAAAATATTTGATTTTATTTGTTGAAACTAAACAACATATAACATATGTCTTTTATTTTGAGTAATTATAAAAATTAATTTCTAAATTTAAATAAATTCGGGTCGGACCGGGCCGATAAATTTTTTTAAAAAAAATTTCGGGTTCGGGCCGGGCCGGAAAAACTTTTATAAAAAATTTCGGGCCGGGTCGGGCTTGAAAAATTAGGCCCGATGCAGATCACTAATAATAACCATAAATTCCGGGGAAAAAAACCTTCAAAACTTTTACATTAGAGAAGACTCGTGTGTTATAGAGGAACAATAAACTACATGTCACTCTCACTATGGGCGAGTGTTGGTTGTAGGATTAAAAAATTTCAACATTGGGACAGCGGATAAAATAAATTTTAAAACAATGGGCGGCTCCCTAATTATAGGTGAAAATATGAATATGGGGTTCATCGGTTAATTTAAATTTTTTTTAACTTATATAGAAACATTTAATTTATCTTAAATTCTTCCAAATATACCTATTACAAATTTTTTTTTAAACAATAGAGATTATAATTATAAAAGCAAAGAATGAAAAAATTGAATTGAAATTTCAAAAAAAAATTATATAATTTTTAAATTAGATCCACTTACTATAACGCTTCAGTAATTTTTTCTTATGATATAATATCATTTTCGCCATTAAAGAATTTAATCCAGAATTTTTTGGCGTTATTTTCTTTCTAAATTTAGCAAAATATTCTTCCAATGGCGCTTCTTTTTAAAATGATATATTTTATTTTTAAATAAAGCATGATTTATTTATTTATTTAAAAAAATAACCCCCAAAAAGTTTTTAATTCTTTATTTTACAAAAATTTGAAAATATTTTGTATTAATATGAGGGATTTTGTCTGCCAAAATAAAGTTTATTAATGTATTTTGATAATATTCATTTTTACTTCATAAAATAACATCATTTAAAGATATTTAATATTTCTATCAAAATTTTTGATTTTTTTTTGTGACAATGATAATATATATTTTTTTTTTAAAAACCCGGTGACATTTATTTTATTATTTTTTTTAGCTCAAGTTTAAAGGGTTGTGCCTTAATTATTTTTTAATTTTTATTATTATTTTTTTAAATATTTTTTTTTAAATTGTGACAAATTTTGGTTCATCTTCATTTTTAAAAAAAATTAATAATTTTATCCTTTTTTTAAGAAAATTTGCAATTTAATTTAATTTATAATATAATTATCAAATACTTGAAAAAGATAAAATAAAATGTGATATTTTATTATAAAAATATTTATAATAAAATAATAAATTCTAAAATAGAACGTTTCTATTATGTTATTTATTTATCAATAATAATTTTTTTTATTGCGTGGAATTTTTTATTTATTTTATGATTACTAAAAAGTAATAATATTAAACCCTAAAATATTATTTTCAATGTCCGGTGTATTTATGGTTAAATTTATAATTTCAAAAAAGTAAATTTATGTAATTTAAATTACAATTTCAAAAATGAATATAAATTTAAAATAATAAAATTGAAACTTATTTTTCAAAAAATGAGAACAATAAAAAAAAGAATGGATCAAATCCAGGATTTTAGTTCCTTTCAGAAAAATTATTCTTTTTTTGCCACTGTTGGCAGAATCGTCTTTACCTCTATTGACCTTTCTCTTAATAAATTATTCTTTTCTGTGCATTACTTAATGGCGGCAGATTGATAATTTAAAATTAAATTAAATCAACATATGAAATGGAGACTAGAATAACATATTCTAATCCCTAAAACGCATTCTTTATTGTGTTTTTTTAACTAATTTAAATTTCTGCCTAATAGAGAGGGGGGGGGATATTTTATGGACGATACAGGATCGTTCTGGATATGCATCATGAATTTTTTTAACACCCTTATAATTATTAGGACTTTCTACTCCCACAGCTTTTTTATTTTGCTTCTGTGAGTATCAATGTTTAAAACTTCTGCTTTTTGTTTCTCCCTCATAATATTTTCACACTATTGCGTAGAATATTTAAGTGTGTGGCCATAATCCTCAGCGATTCGTGGGGTACTGGTCGATTTTCTTGAAATATAACGTATGTTCTTTTACGTAAGCAAAATTTTCTACTGCTCCTGACCTTCCTATACTTATGTTTTGGGATGTCCAACTATAAACTCATAATATTTTGGCTCCTTTAACTTATCCAAATATTCTAATTTTTACTTGAAAATTTACCAACTAACATTACACCATTCTACTTTTTTTCCGTAACAAGTACTATTACCATAAGATCATCTTTTCATAATAACATTGCTACAATCACAATACTTTTATTATACATAATGGCCTATTTTCTACCAAAATTATAAAGTTTAAGATACTATACTTTTTACCATATTTTTTATCCATAGGCAATCAACCGAAATAATAAAATAAATACATGATGAAATCCTTCACTGTTTAACTATTCATGTTTACGATTTTAATTTACATAGGAATTTTAGGGAGCCTTATTGATAGAAAGATATTTTTAAAGGTAATTTTTTCAGATTAAACTGTCAATAAAAGTTATAAAAATAAAAAGATTAATTATCAACTTGAGGAGTATTCCACTTTTTTTCAAAGTAAAGCAGATAGAATTTTGCAGCCCTAGAGGCGTAAACGAATATTCATAATAGCGTAAGAGATACTTGTAATAAATCTCAGAAACATCTTCATTTTCTATCAATGAATTTAAGTGTAAAATATATTTAAATAGATCTCAATTAAAGTTGATTAGATAAAAATATCAACAGTGTAGTATCCTATTCTTTCAAATGCAGAGGATATTTGGTAGTCCTAGAAGTGTGGAAGCTTTCGCTCAAGAGTAACTTGTAATAAATCTTGCAAAAACATCTTCATATTCTATGGATAAGTTCAAGCTTGCTAGAATATTTTAACGGTTCCACGTCAATTCGGCGCTGAAAATTCGGCACAGCGTCAATTCAGCCCCGCGTCAATTCGGCGAGTATCTAATACAGTTGAAATTTATTATAAATTTAAGTATAAAACAAAAGGATGATTAAATAGAAGTCATTTTAAATGTTGGTCCTATTAATTATTTCTTCATATTTTTTTTACAACTTAATTTTATTTACTAAATGTGTAATATCAATAAAAAATTTAATAATATCAAAAAAAAATTAACAAACCAATATTTATACCGATTTCTTTGGTGGGCCAATTTGCCATGTTATAAATTATGTTGATCCATAAAAAAATCAAATTATTTAAACCAGAGTTTCGAACCGTTAAATATAGCGATTCGGTTCGTCTCGTTTTTTAAAAATTTTATAAAGATTTTGTTCCATTTCTGTTTTTTTTAAGAATATCATTTGTTCGGTTCGGTTTTGAATTTATAACGGTTCTTTTCGGTTCGTTCCGATTTTTATTAACTTGATTTTTTTTTTAAAATTAATCATACACCATATTATATATATTACTCTTAGAGAGAAATCTTTTTGATACCATGAAGATTATATCTTATTTAATTAACTAGTAATTTGCCTAATCTCTATTAGATTGAGTATATAAAGTAAAAACAATAAACTTGCTATTTATTGATATGAAGATAATATATAAGTATAAAAAATTTTAATTTGATAAGAAATCACGAATTTAGATTGTCCCCAAGGAAAATTAAAATTTCAAATTTAGGTTAATAATTTTAAATTAATTATTTTAAAAAACCGTTGTGAACCGATTTAAATTGGTTCAAGAATATTTATAGCAGTTCGGTTCGCTCTTTTTATATATTTTTATAAAAGTTTAGTTACTGTTTAGAAAATCATAACGGTTCGTTCCTGTTTCGCAGTTCGGTTCGAAACCCTGATTTAAAAATGATATTTATTTTTATGATTTATAGAATTATTTCAAGGATTTTTAATAAATCTATAAAATGAGTCAGTCTTAAAGGAAAATCTATTTTTAAGTCAATAATTATTATCTAAATTAACATAATCGCTGAATATGATTGGAAAATTCAATCTATAGCATGAGACTTCCCTTTCCTTACTTCTAAAAATTAATTTGAATTTTTTTGGTATAACATGGAATTGGTTCACCAAAGAAATCAGAGTATCAATATTTGTTATTAAATTAATTTTTTTTTCTCCAACCTTCAACATGACTTCTATTTAATGATACATTTGTTTTATGTAAATAAATTGCAACTGTATTAGATATTCGCCGAATTGAAGCTGCGCCAAATTTTCCACGCTGAATTGGCGAGATACTTATTTTAACAGATAACTAAAGGCGTATAGGGTAAAATTTGACTGTTCAGAAGGCAAAATTCTTATATCGAATACCGTTATTATTGGATGTGGTAAAAGTATAATGCTAAATAAAAATAAAAAAATTATTAATTTGATTATCACATTTAGTTTTTTTTAAATACGTTGAAAGAAGTGGTCATCAAGCAATTAAAAGAGAGGAAATCGGATTCGGCTTTAACTTGTTGAGTGGATTATTTTTTTAATAGGTGGATCAGGAATTTTTAAAGTTTTCGAATAAATATGATAAAAAAAAATATCAGGTTAATAATTGATAGAGAGAAGTTTGATTAGGTCTGTCTAGTAAGTTTAAAAATGGTTTCTAAACAATCATGAGAGGAAAAGCTCTGAGAATTATGATAGTGCAGTAAGAGGATAGTGTGAAATAATCTTGAAGTTTGAGGTATTGTATTGAGAAATATAGGAATGGTGAAACTTATGGGCAGAGGTATGGGGTAGCAGTAATTTGCTTCTATATATTTTTGAGGGGGGAGTAGGGGGACTTTTAAGAGGGCGGAGAATAAAAACAATTGTAGGGGATGGGGAGAAAAAATTAGAGAATTTTGCCTCCAAGTTATTGCTCTCACTAGTGTTGTTAAACGGCTCGATTTGAGCCTATTTTTAAAAACGGCAAACTCAGTATTTTAGCCAGAAAAATATTAGGCAAGCCTGAAAATTTTGGTCATAGATGGCACAAAGGTTTCGACATCTATTAACAAAATCTCGAAGCTTGTGTAATATTTTTCTGGTTAAATATTGAGTTAGCCGTTTCTAAAAATCGATTCAAATCGAGTCGTTTCAATACTAGCTAGCACAAGCAAGTTGCTTTTAGGGGGTTACTAGATTTATAAAATTTATTTAAATAGACAGTATATTCCTGTATAAAATAGGAATATCTATCAACTTATTCTTTCTTCCTTTTTTATAGTTATGAAAAATTTTAAAAAGTGCCTTTTTTAACAATGTGTTAACATTTATTGCTTTTTACTGAAGGAAAAAATACTATATATTATTTCAGATAAAACATTTGTATTTTATCATCAATCGCTTTCGGGGTTGCCAGATCGACTATATTGACTAGTAGACTACCACAATTTTTTTAAATAGTCGCAACTCAACTGCCACAATTCTGCAATTTTCAAAATTTCCTAAATATAGGAAAAAAATTCCCATATTTGGAAATTTTTATATAAAAATTTCATGTAATGCCCAAAAAAAAATTTCAAAATCAAGAAATCCATTTCACTCCTTCTATTAATTGCATCCCTTGTTTTTATCTGATAACCAGTCATAAGGGATTTCATATAATTATGGGTTATTCCATATTAGATACAAATTTTAAAATGAAAACATTTATTCCCCCATATATATTTGCAAAATAAATTGGGAATTAGTGTA